ACTTGGCTTGTCCATCATTTTCACCATTAGACGACCTTGACCTACGGACAGTTGTTTTTCTTTCAAAATGAAACTGAAACAAAGTGAGTGAGTCACATGAAAAATGGATTGCACATGAATTGCTTATTATTACGTCTTTACATTTCCTGCTATACACATGTAATTCAGTCATATTAACAGTTGATAAACTTGCCAAGAATCAAATTTAACACATTCTGTATTCCAATTGGTGATTAGCTTATTGTCCCAAAGGCCAGGTTTTCAGAAGATCCTATATCAGAAACGCATTAACAAAAGAAAAAAAAACTCTGGTTTTTAATTTGAATAGTTAAACACACAAAATTAGGCCTATCCATCGCAAATTTTATTTATTTATCAGGCGCGGATCCAAGGGGGGTCTGGAGAGTGCGCCCCCATTCTTAGGCTCAATTTTGGGACTCCTGACTGGACCCGAAATATCCAAAAATGGCGTCTTCATTCAGTGTTGCATTTTCCCAAATTTTGGGGGGTTGTATCTCGTCGTTCCATTTTGAAATAGGATCGCCTGCCTTACCTCGTGTGCCCCAAATTCCGCCTCACGAGTTTCACCAAAAACATGTTTTACAAACCTATTAAATATAGAAACTGTCAAGCCGTTTGGTTTTTTTTACGAAGACTAGTAAAATCCTTTGAGCCGACGTCACCTTTACCCAGTATATTCAACATATTGAGGGAGGGGGGGGGGCATTGGTGTATAAAAAAGATAAAATGGATTTGGGGCTTGGAACTCCCAGTCACATGTTGTCCACTTAACAGTTTTGTTTTTTTAAATTTTAAGTGGTTCCACAACTACCTTAAGTATAAATATAGAATTTATATAAATACAAATTATGCAATACATATTAAGGGATGGAGAGATTTATTACATTCTTCAAGGTTTGTCTCTATATCATATTATGGGGAGTTCACGGGAAAAATATATACTATTCAAAAAAAGTAGGGGATATTTGATTTTTAAGTGTTATTAAAGTCACCTAATGAAACTGACGAAGAAACAAATGACAAAATGAAATGAAGTTCACATTCATCGATTTATTCCAAATGATCGTTAGACTAAGTAAGGCACAGACTGACCATTATAAGGGTAAAATGATACCCGGGGTCAAACAGCAAAGTTACCACAGCATCACAACCAAGTCAGTAACGGGTAAATCCTCCTCTGTTTGCCAAACAAGCATTGATCCGACGTGGCATACTCCTAATGAGACGTCTAAGGTCATTTTGGTCCAGATTGTCCCATTCCTGTTGCAACGCAGCAGCAAGTTCTTGGACATTGGCAGGACGTTGTTGACGTTGACGTAACCTCTGTCCAAGCATGTCCCAGACATGCTCGATGGGGGAGAGGTCGGGACTCAGTGCTGGCCAAGGTAATGTGGTGATGTTCTGTTGTTGGAGGTAACCTGTAACGATCCTGGCCCTGTGACATCTTGCGTTGTCATCCTGGAAGATGAAACGGCGGCCATGACGTCGTGCGAACGGCACAACATGGACTGCCAAGATGTTGTCCCGGTAGTACTGGCCTGTAACACGCCCTGCAACAACATGTAAAGCCGTTCTTCCAGCAACAGTGATGCCTCCCCACACCATAACAGAACCACCCCCAAATCGATCATGTCTGATGACGTTAACGTCTTGGAAGCGCTCGTTTCGACGACGCCACACCCTCCTACGTCTGTCCAAAAAATCAACAGTGAACCTTGACTCATCTGAAAACATCACATTGCTCCAGCGTCGATTATCCCAGTGTTGACGATCCCTACACCAACGACGTCTTGCCTGAATGTGATGATCTCTCAAACAAGGGATCACGCGAGGACGTCGGGCGCGAAGGTGACCCCTATGCAGTCGATTCCGAATCGTCTGGCCACTCACTCTCACACCAGTGTCTGTTTGAAGACGAGCGCTGATCTGATTTGCTGTGATGACACGATTTCTCAAGGCCAAGGTACGGATAAATCGATCCTGGGCTTGAGTTGTCGCCCTTTGTCGACCTGAGCGTGGTCTGTCCTGTACAGATTGTGTATCACGGTATCTGGACCATAGCCTGCTTATGACAGACTGAGAAACATTCATCGGCCGCGCCACAACCGCCTGTGTTGTGCCGATCTGTAGCATGCCAAGGGCACGTAACCTTTCATTTTGAGTAAGCCGACGCATATCAAAATTTGTTTTCTGGTCACTAAAACAATTAAACTGATGTTTCCACCCTGGAATTCAATGCCACAATGACTGTAACATTCAAAGTCAGAGTCGTGCAAATCTTGGGTTGGACCCCCATGATGATCCCAAGCATCACCTGCATTCCATGCGGTAGCTATTGGTGCGTTTGGGCGTCACATGTAACTGGAAATGTTTCTTCTGTTAGGTTCTATAGTGACTTTTTTCGTAGTCATTTGCATATTTTAGTATTATGCCCCCAAAATCAAATATCCCCTACTTTTTTTGAATAGTATATATAGCGATTACGTGAAATTTCCCACAAACACCAATTTTAAAACTAGGAATGAATAAAATGTTTACCAATGCAATGACTAATAATGCCACATAGTAGTGAAATCTATAAATAGCAGATGACCTGATTTGAGGCTTTCACGCAGATACTTGTATATATTATCATTATGTTGTGGCAGGGGCGTGGTGACCCATGATTTTGCATAATACATGGTGATTCAAAGTTCTATTTTCGAAGCTACATTAAAATAATACTTCCGGTTTTCGAAGTTACAATTTTTCCGGTTTTGAGAAAACTGGGTATTCCGACACTCTGCGTAATCCGACATATTGTAACGATCCCGTACGATGTTTAGAACATGCTAGAGTCGATTTGTAGCATATCTGACCCACTGTATATGTTGGACACTGGTAAAAGCATTATGATTATGATTTTAATGTTGAAAACCGCATTGAAACCGCGTGATTTTTTGCCATGTGCGAGTGGGGCACAAAACCTCAAGGGGGTGCAAAAACTCAAAACCATGACGCAAAGCTCGTTATTGCGTCCCTCTCATTTAGCCCTTGATTTATATCCACTATAACTAGATAGAATAATTGGTATGCGTGATACTATTTGTTATACATCTAATAATATGCACCCTACTAGTATTTGGTTGTTGATTATCAAGTGGGCCAAGGGTTCTTAACCAATCGTCTTGAAACTTGGCGAATGTTGATTCCTTCTCCGAAGGGCGGTGCCACACCATATTCCTGAAGCAATGGTACCACACTAACTTTTTGTGTCTCGAGTATGGGCCTCCACTCATCTTGAAAGTTGACATACTTATTCCTTGTAGCCGAATGATGACAGCTATTGATTTGGGTCCATGCCCTATGCAGAGGGGTGTTGTCACATCCTTTTTTGGGTAAAATGGTGATTATTCAATCATATCATAGGCCTATTCCAGTCACACCAAACATCATTGATACCATTTTATTGATTCCGGAATTATAAAAAAACAAATAAGGGGTGTGCGGCCGTGTGTTGGTAACCCCGGACACATTTATGGTGTATAGAGTTCTAGTGTAATTATAGTCTTATGAAAATGAGTTTGGGAACTCACGGGTGTACTTGACCCCTCTCCTAGCCCAACGATCACAAAACTTGATTTACTCTGCTAAGAATTTAGTCAAATTACCATAGATCTTCTAGAGAGATTGCCAAGAAATTAATCAGTTAATTTTTCTCCCATATTTAGATTTAAGCTAATAAAATGCTCTTGAAATATGAGTGAATTCTTATCTGTTTAAACAAAAGTAAATTAAATAATTTTTGTAGCTCTGTGCCAGTTTTTACTAGAGGTTTGCCCATAAATCATGGCAACCATCAGTGTTGAAAACTGCATGTCTATCGGTGTGTGTTCGTGACTCGATGACGATTAGATCATCCCGCGTGGGATAACAATCTTTTATCACTCCACTTCCACGTAACAGCCCAGAAAATGCGTGTCAGTAGGTTAGTAGTGAAATCTATTAATAGCATATTACCGGATCAGACGTGACCTGGTTTATCTATGCTATTGAATATCACATTAATGAAAAATGAAATGAAATGGGGTTTAACGTCCTACTGTTCTGCTCCTAAACTGGGCTAATGAAAACGGGCATACGCCATACAGTGTGCTATGAGAGAAATTTTGCCCGGACAGCGGCACTACGGCCTACTCTTATATCGAATTCCAACTGTCAAGGGATCTTTTACGTGCACGCCAATATGTACACGGGAACTCGTTTTTTTGCCCCATCCCAACGACTAGACAGCTGTCCTTGTCAGGCCCTCCGTCCTGCATCACTGACAAGGGGAAACCACCCCGGAAAATCTGGATGAACTTTCTCGGCCAATGCAGGGATCGAACACCCGACCTCCAGGCTAGCGAGCCAGCGTCTTGCCCACTTAGCAACGTGATCCCCCACATTAATGAGAAATGGTTGTCATTTGAAATAATATCACACCACTCCCTTTCCTTTTCCTCGACACAAACAATTCCAAGAAAAATAAAAACTGAGCCCCGTCCAGTAATGCGCTGCATGGACAGCTGTCTAATCTGAAAGACATAACATATCAACTAATTCGACTCAAGTCAAGCCTGATTCTGCTTTATTCAAAACTAATCGGGCCGGAAATGACAGCTATAAATTCACAACCGTGAAAGATAATTAAGTTGATAAACATGGCCGTTATACATATCCATAAGTAAAATATGTATCTCTTGCTTATTAAAATTTGACGCACCTTAAATTTGTTTTTCGTATTGTAGGTATGTGTTTGACCTTGGGAAATGCCCGATTGTTGTTTACAGTTTAAAAATATTGGGCAAATAAGAAGGCTACAAATAGGTGGGATGATACTCTATTATTAGCTGTTATTAAATGACATAATTATTTCCTAAAATAGCTGGCGTGATTATATCCCATAACCGTCGTCCATCATTAAATGCCGCAATTTTATCATAAAATAAACGAGAATACAATAAAATATACATTTATTATACACAAAACAAACAATAAACAAACAATTTTTATATACATGAACTTAAAATTTGATCGATGATTAGATTGAGCAATAAATACAATTAAAAGAGTCATTTAAGGATGCATTATGTAAGATGTAGATCAAGAGCTGTATAATAGTTCAAAAATAGATAATGATATATAAAAATAAAGAAAATTTCAGTCAAATTACTTTATCCTGAGCGATGTTTTAAATGTTGGAAGATGTAGCGTAGATTATTTATTATTATAACAACTGCAATAGTCAAAATAGACTAATTTAAATTAAATCATTAAATGGCGATCATGTTTCAATCCGTTTAAATCTATGCCACCCGATGGTCTAAAGCGTAGATTATGTTTCTCATGTTTATATCTAAATAATAATTTATATAACATTTGGAGCCAAAAGAAAGGATTGTAATAGGCAGATTTGGCTCTTACATAATGCATCATAATATACATTTAATTCTAAATAAATAAAATGAAACACACATGCATGAAACAAATATAAAGATATTTATAAATAATGAATATTTACAATAAGCACTGACCATAATGACTATTCGATATTTAGTGAATTAATATTGTTTACTAAGTATCTTGAATATGTATGAACTAAAAATAAAAATTCATCTAATATCAGGGCCGTCGGAACGCCGGGGTGGGTGTGGGGCGAGGACAAGCTAGCAGAACCCCATTTTACCTAATTACGCTGACAGCACCCCTCCCCACCCCAATATGAATTTGTAAAAACTTATATATTTATAATTTGAAGATTAGTAATTATTAGTAATTATGTAATGATATATAGAACTTGGTTTTCTCTTTGGTCCACTAGTTTACCATGTTCCTGAAGCAACGATCGGGAGTTCTACAACATCTAGATGCACGGAGTTAAAGCGAGATCAAGCATTATATTAAAGATGCTAGTTTACATGAACCATGGGTTGTAGAGCTAAATTCCTATCAATTTATCTTTTAACAAAAATAATACTAAATTTTCAAACAGTTTGATTTAAACAAATCAAAGATGATATTTAAGACATGACATTAACTGAGTTTGATAACATGCAGGAATCCCTGAGATTTTTCTTTATCACCCAATAATACATTCTACAGTAGATATCACTTGTGTGATATATTTCATAATCTACTGCAATATCTCCTGAGGAGATATCGCTTTACATGAATTTGATTGGTCAGTTGAAAAGGAACTACTTTTTTTTAATTTCAAAGAACAGTTCATTTCTTATTAAAAGTAACTTTTTTTTTATTACAAATGAACTATTGTTATTCAATTGATCTTGATGGAAACACTATAAAGGACTTTGCAATGGTTGAATTGCGGTCAAAAAATGATGTATCACTACGCCGTAATGTTCAGTAAAAGTGAAATCTACAGCAAAGAATTATATTTATCAATTTGTGCATGTAAGAAGGGATTGGGTGATAAATAAAATCTCCTACTCGTCTTTTTTGATATCAAAAAAATATCAGATTCTCGTTTTTTGTTACTTTATCAACTTGTGTTGATATTTTTTGATATCAAAAAAGACTGGTAGGAGATTCTCTATTTATACATTGATACAATTACAATGCATTAATTAAGTGAATGCCATATCCGTTGACCTTTTCTAATCAAATTATGCAAATTCGACAAACAATGGTGTATTAGTTAACAGGCACATGATTGAATATGCATTTTTGTGAATTATAATGTATGATCTTATTATTTAAAAAAATAATTTTAGTATAGTGTATACGGTAATATAATGGTATGCGATATCACAGCGATGTCACTTAGGTTGAAGCGGACATTAAATAAAGCTATTTCACACACATTATAAAAGTAATATAAATGCACGGGAAAGGCATCACAAGATCTCATATTCTTAACCGTAGTTTTCCCTGAAACGGAAATGCCAATTTTTATAAATTATATCTATTATAGGTGACCTATTTAGTTTTGTCTAATCTTTATGGACAAGAAAACAAACGGGAATAACCAAATCTTATTATTCACTTTTCAAATTAGAAATATTACGCAACTCAGGTGGCATGCAATTTTGTTGGAGATAAATATTTGATAAAAATTGTTGACAAATCATAAGCCAATATTTTGATCCCAGAAAGGAAATTCAAGAAATATTTGTAATCATTTTACCAAATTAAAGCCCTTGTGGCTGCAGTAAATGTTAGAATTACTATATGACGTCATACGGATATGGCGTCAACATTTTTGGACTCACAAGTATCGACCGTCCGTAATACATTTATGGTGTTTAAAACCCAATAGTTTTAGAGATATTCGTGATTTTTGGTATACAGCCAGCATCTTGGATTTGACCCCACCGCCTTACCCCCTTTTTTAAAAAACAACTCAGAACATCATAATGAGTTAATACGGCTATAATAGATAATTTTATAAAAGTGGCCATCCTTAATTTCGTCACGGGGTCATAATGGGTATTTCCGTTTCAGGGAAAACCACGTTGCAATTTGTTCGACGTCAAATGGTAGTTTGACCAGCCGACGTGGGAATATTCAAGCTGAGAAGGTGTAACACTTAAGACGGTCATGAAAGAACAAGAGACATATTTAGGTCACACCAATTTGATTTTCAGTTTTTCTGGAAAACCTGTTACAATTTTGCTTCTTATTTCTTCAAGAAAAGGAATAATTTAAAAACCAAAAGTACTTAATTGCACGGTTCAAAATGTTTTAGCTGCAAATTTTAAGTTTTGAGATTTGAAAAAGAGCATAATTCACGAGATTTATTTATCATTATTCCGAAGAACTGAAAATTAAATTAGCTTTGCCTTAGGGTCTATTTTTGTAAATCAGTACTTCAATTTGACTATTTGTCAATGTTTTCATACCAAAGTACTGTGACTTTAAGAATTTATTATTGGCAGTTAGCATCTATTGACAGCAGTTGAGGCTATTTTGGCAGTAAATTTGTATCTTCAGTACTCATGCATGTCGTTAAAAACTCGATAATAAATACGGCTTTTCACACACACCGTTAATTTTCAGCGAAGAATAATTGTTTCTAAAACGACGATTAAATTTAGTTGCATAGAAAACGTCCTTGTCAGTTATGGTATTATTGTGAGTAAAATCGAATACGGACATATTGTTTTCGGTTTCTGACCTCACGGACGTAAAAATGACGACCCTAACGTTTCTCAAGTGTTTTAGACGACTAACGCAATACAGTTTGTTAGTTTTTAAAACTATCCTTTTAGACAGATTTTTCAGGCCCTTTATTGGTTTGACGTTCTTCATTGTAATAGTCTGGATAATACGACCGGCTGCTTTCTCGGTTTTGATGTCAATGATGGTGCCAACAAAACCTGAAAATAATTTTTAAAAATCATAGAAGTAAAGATAATAGATTATACACTAAAAACGGCTTGGGTGGCAAAAGGGACAAGATTATACCCTAATACAGGCATTAGGCGCATGTGGTATGATAAAATTTAATCTTAATGTCAATGGTTTCAGGTCAACTCTAACAAATTCAAGGAAACTGTTAACGGGCCTTACGCTATAGACTGTTTCTTAAAACCAGGTGACAAAAGTACTATCTTGAGAAGCTCTTACAACTTCCATGTAAAACGACCGAGGCTGGGTTATTATGAGTGCTAGATAGGCCTATACTTTTCCCCATGAAAGACAGATTACTTCCGGTTAAACAATCCACTCAAAATATTGGCATTTTCCTGTTTACATGACAACGTAGATTATAAATATATACCATGCAAAACATTGATTATACACAATCACTGAAATCGCCCAGCTCAAACTTATTTAGCACAGTTATCATGTAATATACACCTTGAGATAAATGGTATAGTGCCCATATCTGAATAACAGGGATGTTTAGCTTGAATGTGCTATTTAACCGAAGAACTGACCCGACATCTGAGCCAGTGCCGGTTTAAAACGGAAAACGGATGGGAATGGGGCCCTGACACGCGTAAACCCATACCCATACCCAAATACCCAAGTCCAAAAAAATAAGTTAAGTTTATATGGAAATTAAAGTTGAAATATAAATTTATAGATTTCAATATACGATATTGATTAAATAGCCAATGACCGAATGCTCAATGATCTGAATAGCCTGTAGTATGTAAACTTACCGTAAGACTGGAGGCAAGCTGGGGTAACCCACTCGAATATATCGGATCTCTTGTGAACCTTACTTAACCTACAAGTTGGAGTAAGGGGCTTATTCGGACACCGAGGACATGTTTTTCTTTTCACCACAGGCAGCAGCATGGAATCGCACCTTTTAAATCTAGGATCGTAAGGTAAGGTGTTGGCACAACATTTGGCTCGGTCTTTGCGTCCAATGATGAAATTATTGCAACATTTTGACCCGTATGGTATCACCTTGTTTCCGCAACATTTAGGAAATTTATTGTGGAGCCTTTTTGAATGAAGTCTGTTGTCACAATTCACAGCACAAGAACAGTTTTCATCTTGATAATGACAAGCTTCTAATCTGCAGCAACTAAAATAAATAAATCGCAGTGGTCTGGAATTATTCATTTTGTATTTTGTATCAATATAATTAAGCAAGCAGAGATTGGTCACTGTTCTTGCTTCTAGATTTCTATACAGAACCTATTTATAATAACAGAACACAGTTTTTATGGGATACAATCACTAGTTTATTCTAGAAGCACGACGTTTCGACAAGTATCCTCTTATCGTTATCAAGCACAAATGACAATTTAGTTAGTTAGTGTTAGTTGTATTTTACGTCCGCTTCCACCGAGGTGATATCGCAGACAATGACAATTTAGTAAACTTGTGGACAATATATATGAAATTAATAAGAAACCATCTGCATGGATTAAGAATAACAGTAATAGAAATAATCAAGGTGTAAAGGATATTTAACAATAACAACAAACATAACAAGGTAATTAGCTACTAATAAGCACTGATACTGCATGATTAGAGGGTTATTAACAGTTATGAAGCCCTTCAAAAGGGTAGCATGTATGGATAGTGGGAAGTTGATAAAGCACAGGTAGTGAGGCCATGTGCATGAAGTTAAATAAGATTTGCATTATATAAGTACAACTATAACAATACACAATTTGTACTAAGAAAACAAGAACAAAAATCCTCTAAAAATATAAGGGACAGGTTGGGAGAATCTATAATATCGAAAATTTATTAATGAGATGGGGTGGGGGCGGGGATTTTAGTACAACCAAAGATTAATAGTTAAATTATGTTGGGCATCTTAATTACATCATCATATGCCCTGGGGATGTAGAGCCCTAAGTCCCTATTGAGTTCAGGTGAATGTCTTCTGATATTTATAGCTTCTGATAATAGAGTATCAGGGATTTTTAACACCCGATCCTTCCCTCACCCCACTCCAAAAAAAACCCGAGGTGTGCCAGGTTTCTCTCCTTACATACAAGCCACTTGAACCAACTAAAGGGCACGTTTTAGTCCTTCCTCCCTCGCCCATTCGAATGTTTATAAACAAGATAATGGCGGTTGTTAGTCGTATTCAATGCGCAGATACTTGAATTTGAACGTAAATTACTTGAATTTAGACCGATGTAACCTGACATCTGGGCACCAAATCCACGCGAATTTCTTATTTTATTACGGAATTTTGCATTAACTTACATTCCATCTTTGGTTGGTATTTTATAAATCGTTTTACGGCAACACATCTCTATTGTTTCATCAATAGCGTCCACACCACAGCAAGTTAATCGACGACTGGTGTTAAAATGATGCAATACGTTGCCACAGCAAACCTTCTCAGACGGGGAATACTGATCAGAACCACACCATTCCCCTCCTTGCTTTTTCTTCACTGTTCCGTGATGACAGATCTGTTGAATGACAAAATATTTCAAAAATTAAAATTTAAGTAAAACGTATCATGCCATTTTAGATAAAATAACATTCCACCTGGAATGAAAAATTATATACATATTTCAATCTGAATATCTTAAGCAAGGCAATAAGGCCTTATCCTATTTTGAAGCCGCGGTGGGAATGTTCTGTGAGTATGGTGATGGCTCGCTTCTTCAGGATTGCCAACAGTGCAAGAGACCGAGTGTACCGTGTTGCTCTTGAAAACTGAATTCGAAATACGTTCTTTATTAATATTTTGGATTATAATGTTATGTGGGTGTGGGTGGGGTATTTAATCAAATCCTCTGATAGAAAGAGTATGGGTTGTTTATTAAATACCCCACCCCACCACATGGACCTGCATCAATCATGGACCTGCATACTGCACACAGAGAACTGTTTACTTCGAGATTAGATCTCTGCCCCAAATGGCCACCATATTGAAATAATACTATTTTGTTATATGGTTCTTATTCGTTTTACATCTTTACAAGACTAAATAAACATTTTTAGTTTCATTAAATATAAAAATTGAAACGGAATAAATATAAGTTTTTTTTTTACTAAACTTGCCGATGTAGGAGTTAAAATGTTGGTTAAGTAACTTCCCGACTGTTCTATAGCAGAGCTAATTATAGACATACAAGTTAGTATATCATACCTGATCTTTTGAATTAAATGTTTCCCCAGTAAATTTGAAACGATGGTAACAACAATCATCATCATCTGGTTTACTTTTCTTTACACCCTTTTCACCTTGACAACAGATTTCTCCTTCCTTTAACTCTTGTCCATTACAACATGTACTATTAATTGGTATTGGTGTTCGATCTGAAACAGTTATCAAATTTCCTATCATGTTTGTTTTAAGACGGCTGCACATCCGAGAAAACATAACAGAGTAAATGGCTTTAAAATTGCCAGTGTTAGGTGTGATCTTTTCTTTACAATATTTGGCCTTTGAAGATATCATTTATTCAACAGCTGACACAAATTTATCGATGGAACTCTAAACGAGATTTCCGCTAATGTATTTCTGCTTTCCTCCGCACAGTTTTAGCTAAGGGAGGGGGAGGGGGCTGTGGTCTCAAAATACCATGGCGGTCTAAGCTTAATTCTGAAAGGATTGGAGATTTTGGGGGGCATGTGTATCCAGAAGGTGATATCGTAGACAAGTTGTCTTATTTTTATTTTTTTATTATCTTAGCGCACGCGCAGGGGTCTTTCCTGTGGGAGGACACCGGGGTACCCGGAGTAAACCCACGAGGTTGGGAAGGCGCCCTTATCTCCAAGCCACATACACCCACACCAGGGATCGGAACCACAGCCGCAAGCCACAGGTCACCGACCAGCTACTAGAGGTCGAAGCCCGGTACTCTAGACCACTAGGCCACCCCAACCCGGATTCTGTCAGATCTTTACTAAAGTCTACACTGATATTCCTTTGATATTCCTACATGTGAAAATTTGCGGGTCTTTCAAGATCAAGCGATGAAAATACCCAGAAATGAAAAGACATCTGACATCACGGTTTCTCTATTGAAAACATTGTATGTACGAAATGGCATCTGCCATAAATGAACCCTTTTACTGTGATGGCGATATTTGTTTAAATTGTATTACCCTCAATTAATTGCCTAACCTGTGGGTTGTGTTTGAATATGGTTAATTACTATAAGTCGAAACCATACTTACGGGAGCAACATTTCTGTTTCTGTTTATCTTGTATAAGATGATATCCACAACGTTCCATCCCCTTCTTGTAAACTTTCTGACCAAGGCAAAGCGTATCATCACCATATATTTTATCTTTAGCTTTGCCGTTACAACACAACTGTGTATTAATATTGTATGTACCTTTTAAAACAACCATAAGAATGCAATTCATAATTATATATGCACGTCACTGTGTAAAACAAAATGGGTAATACGTATTCTTATCGATTATAGAAGGGAACGGCAGTTCAAGCGCTTCATTTGCCTGTTCATCCCTCACCAGTGAGTTTTATATCATAAGGTCTGTCAGTGGGTCCAGTGGCGCGGTTCCATTAAGGGATACGGTCGCCTGTGAATTATTGAAATAAAAAAGGCCTGCTTTGTGTTAAGTGAACGTTAAACCCTATTTGTTTATTTTTGAAAGTTTTAGTTTTACCTGTCCCACAACACTCGTCATATTCGTAACCTGTAGTCGAAGGCAGTTTGATAGAGATGGCTTTGTGGCAGCATTTATGCGTCGTGATATTTATTGCTGCTTTACCACAACATCCCCTGGTGTCATCAATTTCCGTCATACTATCAGATTTTCTGTATGGCCAGTCAGTCACGTGATCTGAAAAGGAGAACGCGTCACTTTATATATAATATGAATTAAGATAAGCCTACATATGAGGCCTGGGATTAGTGGTAGGTACAGCATACAGTAAAATGAAATGAAATGAAATGGGGTTTAACGTCCTACTGTTCTGCTCCTAAACTGGGCTAATGAAGACGAGCATACGCCATACAGTGTGCTATGAGGGAAATTTTGCCCAGGCAGCGGCGCTACGGCCTATTCTTATATCGAATTCCAACTGCCAAGGGATCTTTTACGTGCACGCCAATATGTACATGGGACCTCGGTTTTTCGTCCCATCCGAACGACTATACAGCTGCTCTTGTCAGGCCCCCCGTCCTGCATCACTGACAAGGTGAAACCACGTCAGAAAATCTGGATGAACTTTCTCGGCAAATGCAGGAATCGAACACCCGACCTCCAGGCTAGCGAGCCAGCGTCTTACCCACTTAGCCACGTGATCCCGTACAGCCTAAAACAGACGTAAAGGGGCCAGTTTGCTTCCAAATATAATCATTTAATAAATTGAGTGTTTTATGAACTTGCAATTGCGGCAAAAACATACAACAAATCCCTCATAATAAAACCTTTTTCAAATGCTCCACCCACGGAAAAAAGGTTGTCACTCAAATCGAGCAAAACAGACCAAAAAACTAACTAATCCGCGGTAAATTTTCGGTTGGTTGCTACTTAAGAAGGGTTTCGCATTGCGGTCCTTCTGTCTGCGATATCACCCAGGTGGAAGCGGACGTAAACCCCCACAAACGAACCTACGTTACGACCCTGGAACAGTCTGGCCCAAAATATAGGCATCCAAGTCACAACACTATCTGACTAAAATCAACTCTAGCATGTTAGGGGATGATATTCAAGTAAACATAACTACCACAGGATTTTTAGTTTTAAGACAGGCGTGAGATTGCGATTTGTAATCAGTTGTGTGTACAATTTATAGTTGTAAGAGATAACGTCATAGTCTAATAAGCCCAAAACGAATGATAATAAAAATCTTCATTACATTTTTCTATATCTAAGTCAGATTTCATTCACCCGTCTTCATTATAGCCTGGTTGAACAGAAAAATGGGACGTTAAACTCCATTTCAATCATTCAAGTCTACTTTTCTGTCCATTTCATATTTACATGGATAGATCAAAGAAATGCTCAGCAGGTTGTCTTACCATCACAGCAGGAGTTTTCATAGACGTTGATAGTCTTTGCGCCACATTTCAACTGTGACCGGGGCAGTAAATGGAGACCCTTTTGACACCAATGTGTCTCTAGATTGTATGCATTGTGTAAGCAACACTGCACCTTCTTTACTTTCTTTTGCTTGCTGTCCGGATTATTTCCACAGCAGATGTCTTTATCAGGATCAAGTAGGGTGTTGCCACAACATTCGTAACGCTTCGATGCATCTAAAAATAAATAAATAATGACAGACAATTATATATTGGTTCAACAATGATGAATTAAATGAAATGGTGTTTAATGTCCTACTGTTCTGCTCCGACTAGGCGAATGAAGACGGCATACGCCCTAGTGTGCGATGGGGGATATTTGTCCGGACAGAGACACTATGGCCTACTCTTATATCGAATTCCAACTGCCAGGGGATCTTTTACGTGCACGCCAATGTATACATGGGACCTCGGTTTTTCGTCACATCCTAACGACTAGACAGCTGTTCTTGTTAGGCCCTACGTCCTGCACTACTGACAAGAGGAGTCCACGTCAGAAAATTCCGATGAACTTTGTCGGCCAATGCAGGGATCGAATACTCGACATCCAGGTAAGCGAGCCACCGCCCTTCTCACTAATTGCCCCCTGACTCCATATATGTTCAACAAGTTACATGTATATTTATAAAATGTAAGACAGTAGATAATAGGGTGGGGCGGGTGATAGATGGAGAGTTGATCTGGGGTGGGAGATTGATGGAGGGTTGAGCTGGGGCGGGTGATAGATGGAGAGTTGATCTGGGGTGGGAGATCGATGGACGGTTGAGCTGGGGTGGGAGATTGATGGAGAGTTGAGCTGGGGTGGGAGATTGATGGAGAGTTGAGCTGGGGTGGGAGATTGATGGACGGTTGAGCTGGGGTGGGAGATTGATGGAGAGTTGAGCTGGGGTGGGAGATTTATGGAGGGTTGAGCTGGGGTGAGAGAGTGATGGAGAGTCAGTGGAACTGCGGATGGCAATATTACCCACTGTTAAATATTCATGGAATGCTAAGAGAGAGGGGGTGAACATATGCTGCGTCGTCAGGTTCTATAGTTGGGATAAATAAAAAATATTTTTGAAATGTAACGTATTTAACAAACCTGGAATGTCTAATGCCACTTTATCACAACAGATCTGTTCCTTATTAACGATGATTTTATTGTTGCAGCAGCTTATAGAATTATTTGAACTGTCGATTTTGTTGTATACCTTACCATTGCAACAAATACTGCTAACTTCATGATAAAACTCGCCTTTTCTATCATCTATAAATTAAAAGACACATGTAGCTATTTGATTATATTTATTAGTACAGATGTAGATACGTATCAGAATACAAAGGTCGTTGCGTATTAATTCAAATGTGAAAATGAAATGAAATGGAGCTTAACATTCTACTGTTTTGTTCCGACTGGGCAAATGGTGACTGGCGTACACCATATATAGGGCCTATAAGGGGAATATTGTCCTACTCTAATAACGAACTGCCAAGGGTTCTTTTACGTGAGCGTCAATCTGTACACGGGACCTTTGTTTTCCGTCCCATTCGAACGACTATACGTTGTCCTTTGTCATTAAATGTGCCTTTTCATGGAAGGGCGAATGAAATATTCAGGCTGAATTTAATTCAAAATTTAGATATGTTGAGTCGAACATACGGTTCATTTATCTTCTGTGGTGTGCAGTGGCGAACAAAGAATTAGTCATATCAAATATCCATTTAAAAATCCACTTTAAATGCTATAGTCTGGAATCATCTTTAAATTAGGAGCTAAATCACTAATATTTGGGACCTAGAAATTAACACAAATGGCGCTAGAACGCATTATGGTACACGGTTCGTGTACCAATGGTAAAAGGTTTATTTTGACTTAAATATTGGATATCAGAAGCCCATCTTTTCCAGGTAAGATCGCAGCATCATTCGTATTTTCAATGTCGAAGACGTTGGACGATTTTTGGTTAGAGACTTAGCTACTTTAAAGTAAAGAAAATCTAAGGTTTTGTGATCGCGTTGTATGACGTGATCAGTCAGTTGTTTATTTATTTCCGAATTATAAGGTCACCGGGAAAATATTTATTTATTATGAAGTCAGCATTATGTGACGTTTTGGTCAAAGAGGTGCGGAGTAAATCACGTGATCATATTATTTAAGTGCACGAGCAATGACCTCGAACTTTAGGAAGCGTGTAGATAAAACAATTAAAAAGGAAGTATTCTTTACAAAGGTGATAAGCATAGTCTACATATGACCTAGAAAGATCGTGACAACGGTATAAAAGAATGTCGGGTCTTTCAATAACATTTTTTTTTGTATTTAATACGATCTTTTAGAATGAAGTTACACTAGCGTAAATCGTGATATAAATGATAAATCTAATATATTATTATTGACATTTTTGATTACATAGATACACGACGTGCACAGGGTCAAAGATAACTTCCGCAAATGAAAAAGACATGACATATAAACTATATCAATATTTGCACTAAATAATACCCCCCCCCCCAAGATCACACCAAAATCTACCCCCCCACCCCACCCCAATACACACACGCACACAGAAACATTAATAAAACAAATTAAAAAAAAGCCCAAAACAACTAGCAAATCAAAACAAAAATCAAAACCCCAAACCACAACAAAACTAAAAAAATTCTTCTATTAAATGGTAACATATTAATTAATCAACTCACCTAATCTATCATAACAACACTTTTTCGAGGGTGCAGATTCTTCTATTTTGTCACAGCCACAACTTATCTCATGACTGCGTAGCTCCATTAAAGTTCCATTACAATGCTCACGAAGGTTACATAATACTCCTGAAAGATAGAAATGTATGGAATTAATTATATCGACATAATTCTTTTGAAGCCCAAAAATGGTAGCCTAATTATTGACACTATGATCGTTTTATAATTTTATAGTATTAAAAGTGAGTTTTCTCTTTCTGTTCATCTTTATCCCCCCACCCCCCCAAAAAAAATAGAAAGAATAAAATAAAAAAAAATAAACAACAACTCCCACCTCCAGCAATTAGCAATGATAATAATAATAATTAAAAAAAAAAAAACCCAAAAAACAAAAAAACAATCGAAATAAGAAATTAAACGTACATACTAGCAAACAAGAAATGAGGATCCGACTAATAATGGTAACAATTAAAACCTGAAATAGGCCTACTAATTCAGTGTAAATGGTAATTATTAGTATAGCCCACCTTTTATAACTAGGAGTATAAAAACAAGAAAAAGTTTCAGCTCCATCTTTACGTCCTGTGTATTTGAAAGTCTGAAGAAGTATGAATAATTGTGTAAATAAGTAAGTTCTTTTTACCTGTGGAATTTCCATTTTTCAACCGCGAGGTTGTGGGAGTCGTATTATCTATTTATAGACTGGGAAACCGTAGTGACGTCATGAAAGGGTTTCCCCAGATCTCCATATTGCTTTTTAGTTAATACGAACTCATCTCAATAATTTAAAATAATGAATGGTAAGCCTTATTGCCTATGTTAACTTGCTAAATTATAATGTATTCAGTTTCATGATGTTTTTAATAAATACGAGGCCATAATAAAATTTATATTTGATAAACAAGAAAGATAAAATGGCAATGATGAATGAGTTGACCCTGTCGTCAGACAACCAATCCATACAACTAGCACATACACTGTAGTTCAAAATGCCAGGAAAGAAACATACAGTTGAATTATATAATTGACGAAAAAACGATCCCTGATGGGAAATAGGCCTGCCTAATCATGCCACTGTAAAAAACAAAACAATATATTAATGGGGGGGGGGGGGGGCCCACAGGAAAAAAAGTAGTCGGTCGCAAAATCAGTGCAGTCGGTCGCAAAATAAGAGCAGTCGGTATCAAAATAAGTGCTCACTGCATACGTCACGTTACTCACGCAAAACTTTAGTATAAAATAACCTTGTGAACTTATCATGTTGTGTTGTGTTTCACTCTTATTCTGTTGTGAGTATGTTGGTCTAAGAACAAAATTTCCCCCAGGGAGAAAAATACATGTAGGCCTAGTCGGTCTCAAAATAAGTGCAGTCACTGCAGTCCGTCTCAAAATTATGCATCAGCAACTTTATGAATTAATGAGGTAAACAAACACTGTCAGAATAGATCCCAAATACTATGTATTTGCGTGAATGGGTGCAGGCTGTTTCGTACTTAGTTCATTCGTACCTCACTTCGTACCTCAAATTCGTTCGTACCTTTTCCTATGTTGTTGAAATCAGTTGAAAGAAATTGAAAATGCCAAACCAGAATTAGAATATGCACGAGATTTGTACCTCAAATTGATTAGTTCCTTTTCCTAAATCCAAAGGCTGCGCTAAATTTATAAAAATGGCTGCCTAACGAGAATTAGAATACACACGTGATTTGTACCTCAAATTGATTCGTACCTTTTCATATATGTTGTTAATGAATTTAAAGAAATTAAAATAAATATATATGTTGTTGAAAGAAATTGAAATAATAAACGATTACCTGCCTTTCTTTTAAATCTGATGTTGATTATTGAACCCATTCTGCTCAGTGAGTTGTGATTTTTGACGACAGTTGATTGGTGATTGTTAAAGTAGTTTAAAAAACGATTGAAAAGTATTTAATCTGGGGTTGATTATTGAACCCATTCTGCTGAGTGAGTTGTGATTTGTGATTATTGACGACAACTGATTGGTGGTTGTTAAAGCAATTAAAAATGATTGATTATACTAAGAATTCCAAAATCAATTTAACTCATTGTAAGGTGAAACTGCATGCTTTCTGATATGGTTGGGTTATTTGTGCCTAGAAACAGAACGCAGCAATTAAGTCTCCAAAATTAAGGTGCCTACATGTGAATATGGGCGTACCCGTTTCTTTCATCTGTTATATCATGGACCGTATATACGGTCATATCACAGGGTAATTCTGTTATTGAAACCCAACTGCATGAAAATGGCTTTCGATCGTAACCGATGTAAATTTAGTGAATGCTGAAGCAATCTAGTATAAATATATGTGAATTACTACTATTGGGCAGGCTGTGTAACATAAATTTAGCGTAGCCATTGGATTTGATCAAATCGTTTCACCTTTATTTCAATTTCTTTTAACTGATTTTACTGATTTCAACAACATAGGAAAAGTACGAATCAATTTGAGGTACGAAGTGAAGTACGAAACGACTCATGTGAGGTACAAATGAACTAAGTACGAAACCGCTAGGTTACGAAACAGCTGACATCTGCGTGAATCTGTGAGTGTGAGCCTAAATTGCACACGTCACACAAAACTATAGTATAAAATAACCATGTCTGCTTGTCATGTTTGAAAAAATGTTTGTCACTCTTATTCTGTTGTGAGTATGTTGTTCTATGAAATGTTTTTCCCCCATGGCAAAAAAATAATCAGTCTCAAAAAAAGTACTCACCGCAGTCGGCAAAAAAATAATCGGTCTCAAAAAAAGTACTCACCACAGTCGGTCTCAAACAAACAATCACAAAACGGGTGAAATTGACAGATAGGCCACAAGATTCTGTCCCATTTCTTATCCTCTCGTTAAGGAGAATTTGGTTCCATTTGCTATGACATTGACTAAAATTTTCAAGCCCAGTCCCGAAAAATTAAAAGCTTGGTTACATATCTTAAATTTGTTCGCGCCTGCGGCACTCGATTCCGTTATAACATCATTCTTCTACTCCTCTGTTGTCTTATACTGTCTCAGCACTATCATATTCACAGTTATAGTGAACTGCCTAGTTATACTAGTGTGTGGGTCGTGGGGCGTCATACTATACAAATTTTATGTCAACTCTTGCAAAACAGGCGGAATTGACAGGGGCAGATCTCGAGATTCTGTCCCATTGACTCACATTTCTGGTCCTCTCGTCCACAAGACTTTCTGCCAGCAATGACCTCAAATGCTAGGATATTGACTCAATTTTTCAAAATTTTCTCATGTTGCTCAGTGTTATAGGCACAATCATCATATATGACATAAACTTTATCTCAACTAGATCCGCTACTGCACATGGCCCCTAGAAAACTGGCACGTGTGGTGCACGGCTTAGACTGCGTCACTCGTACTGGGGGTATGTGCATCAGTCGGTTGCATTTTGGCTAAACCCCCCCCCCCCCCAAACAAAATCGTTATGTACGCCCCTGCCTGTATCATTTGAAAAAAAAAAACCTGTAGAAAAAGTAAAGGTTCCTGTAGAATTCTGTGTGATTCTATAGAATACTATAGGGAAAAAAAGAATTCATGCTGTAGCCAAGATTTGTTGACAATACTATATACAGATCTGAAATAATTTACTATACAGTAGTTTTGTAGGATCTGTAGTTGAGTTTTTCCAAGGATCTGTAGTTGAGTTTTTCCAAGTGTAATTTTTTATAGAATACTGTAAGAAACTATGGAAAAAAAATGAACCGATAGATTGATTTGTGCTGCTATAAATTGGTGGTAAAAACTATATTTTTCTATAGATCTAACTTGTATCCTGAAGTCTGTTGTGTAATCCTATAGTTTTCTATAACGATTTCTGATAATTACTGCCAGACTTATGGCCCTTGATCACTTTAAAAATATCTTGTGGATGCTCTATACAGACTACAGTTATTATCCGGAGGACGGATATTTCAGTGATTTATTATTGTTAATTTCAGATCGAGATCATTTAAGTATATCATGGCATGATACAGCTTGGATTCCGGTTTTAAATCAGAACAATGTACTTGATTATTTCTCGGAAAGATCTAATCCGTTCTATGATAGAATGTGTAATAATGAAATTATTAAAATGCAGCGTTTAAACACAGACCAGCTACAGTAAGTAGGCCTAGCATTATTCTAGAAAAAACTGAATTTATATTGATATGTACAAGCTTACGCATGGATTAAAATTTAAGTATGAAATCTTAAAGATTCAGTAGGCAAATGTAATAGCTAAATCTGCCTATTGCATGTCTTTTTTCTGGCTTCAAATATATACATGTACATGTATATTACTAGCAGATGACCCGGCACTGCACTGCTGCGTGGTTTGAAAGTAATCTAAGTACGAAACTGGAAGCAGTACCAGTAGGCCAATGCCATCTAGCCCATGTTACTCCCAGTCAGCCTCGGGACAGCCCTAGTGTAGCCACCAACCCTGAAATTCCTGAACAGACAGACAAACAAGCAGACAAACAAACGACAGTCACAAATATTAGTATAGATTATTTAGACATCATTTGCATAACAAGCCTATAATCAACTCTCTAAACCATCAGATATGGCTGAGATTTAAATGGATTTGAACACTTGAAAGATTTAAAAATGTAATAATTGTAGATCTTACATAATGCATCTTTTGCATGAATTAAAAAAAAAAAAATCCCAACAAATATTTGTTGAAAACAAGAAAATGGAAGAGAAAGAAATTTTTAGACTGTTATATAGTATGCAATAGTTAAAATAATTATTGGATGACGATTATATATAATTATGGCCGATTTATTAGTGCAAACTAGTTATTTTTATTCCATTCTTCAGAAATATGGTTGGAATAGAGTATGTTTTATTACATGTTCAAGAACCAATTCTTTATGTTATCAGAAAACAACATCGTCATTCACCCACACAAGGTATGGAATAAAATGGTGCTCATAATATTGAATGCTAGTTTTACTATTTGAATGTTTCAAATTGTGGAATTATTTGTCAGTTACACATTAAAGAATAATTATTAGCCAAGAATTATTTGTCAAGTACAGATTAAATAATATTATTTAACCAAGACACATGCTCACAAGTAATTCTACATTTGTACTATTTGAATATACGAATTGTGGAATTATTTGTCAGATACATAATAAAGATACTTTCCCACAAAAGTATTTATCGTGTGGTTATTTCCTATAAAAGTATGGCAATAGTTTAAAAATCCAATCTTACTAGAAAAAAAAACTGGATTCCCTGAAAAACACCATTAAGTGCACATAGGACAAATATATAAAATATAAGGGTTTCCCAAACTGGCAACCCGACGATTAAGGATGTCTGCTCAAGTCATGTTAAAGATTGCACACAAAGATTTTCTGATCTTTCAGCGTTAGAGAGCGCTTGTTGTATTGATAAACTTGATGGTGAGCTTAAACGTACAAGAGTTTCTGAGATAAAAAAAACACGGAAAAAGATGTGGGCAGTGGATAATCCGAGAATTTAATTTGGGTTTGATATTTATGATAAATGGACAGCGATTAAAGACAACATCGTCTTATATGCAATGAATTCTCCTTCAACTTCACACACGTTGCTTAGTACCGCATCAGCCAAGTCACATGACCCAAACATGACTTCTTTTAGATGATTTTTTATAGCAGGGTTGTTCCCTCACTAATACAATGTTTTGAGAAGGATTTAAAGCAAAATTTTGATAGATTAATAAGTTTAAATATGTTCCAAATATATCATTAAATCACCCAGTTTGTAAACAGGAAGGTATCTTTAAAGAATAATATTTCTAGCTAAGACATGACTTTAAATGATTTGTTTATTTCATCTTCACCTCTAGCACGGTGTTATATTATATTTTTTTTATTTCATCTTCATCACTAGCACGGTGTTATATTATATTTTGTTTATTTCATCTTCATCACTAGCACAGTGTTATATTATATTTTGTTTATTTTAACTTCACCGCTAGCACAGTGTTATATTATATTTTGTTTATTTTAACTTCACCGCTAGCACAGAGTTATATTATATTTTGTTTATTTCATCTTCACCCCTAGCATGGTGTTATATTATATTTTGTTTATTTCAGCTTCACCTCTAGCACGGTGTTATATTATATTTTGTTTATTTCAGCTTCGCCTCTAGCTCATTATTATATTATAGCTGGTATTGTATATCAAGCACCAGATCTATGTAGTGTTGTTAATTCCAGATTGGTACGTTTCTTTAATGTTAATTTATATTTAAAGGCATAATATGCCAGAATAAATGTCAAAAACTATTAGACCATAAAACAATACAATAAATGTAGTCTTGCTGAAAAAGCATATTGCTCCAAAAATGACTAAAATCACTCATTCCTAGCTAGTAAGTAGTAATTTAATGTCTTTGATTGGCATTTAGTAATTGATCATATTAACACAAGGTACAATTTTATGGATACACAAACAATTACTGAGTTTAATACAATGTGATGTTTCAGTAAACTCAGTAATTGTGTATCCATAAAATTGTACCTTATGTTAGTAATTTAATGCTTTGAGTCTTTATAATTAATTGCAATACTATTATGATTAATTTCTATTAAGATCACATTTTTTTTTTTTTTGCAGTTAAATTGTGTGTCTAGTTTACAGTCCGCTTTTGATGAAGGTAATTAAATATAACTCTAATTTAACCCGTTAAGTGTGTAGGTTGTTATATAACGTCCTGGACAACTGCCACTCACTGTGTGTAGGGTGATTATTATGCCTTGGAGGTATTTTCCCCAACCTATTCTTAGAATATAGTTCGTCACTTGGGAATTCCCCCTGGACAACTGCCACTCACTGTGTGTAGGGCGTAAAATAACGCCTTGGAGGTATTTTCCCCCAACCTATTCTTAGAACATAGTACATAGTTCTTCGTCACTTCGTCAAATTAATTACACAATAGGGGGTAGTTAACGTTTTAAAAACGTCGCCTGTCCAACCTTGTGGGTTTTTTCTGGGTCCTCCGGTTTCCTCCCACTGCTAAAGACCCTTACGCACAAGCGAATTATGTAAATAAAATTATACCATATGTTAGTCCCGAAATGACCTAGTTTGTGTCGAGTGGACGTTAAACCCCATTTCTCTCTCTCTCTCTTTAAAAATGTCACGCTTAACAGGTTAATAAAGAAAGAGATAAGCTGCCCTCATTTAAAGAGGCATTATAAATTTCAGTAAGAAAATAATTCAAAATTCATAATAACATATTCAAAATAACAGTCATCTGGGACTAATTATCATATATCCAAGCACTAACCTAGGTATACCTTATTCTGAATATGTTTGGAGGGGGTTGGTTGGCCGAATGGTTAACACGCCCGCGCTGTATCATACGGTCGGTCATTTGAGTCAACTGGCGGGGTTTCGATTCCCCGGTTGTACGTGACAAGGAGTAGGTCGCCTGTCCAACCTCGTGGGTTTTCTCCGGGTCCTCTGGTTTCCTCCTACAGCTAAAGACCCCTACGCGCAAGCGAATTATTGAAATAAAATTTAACCATGTTAGTCCCGAAATGACCTAGTTTGTGTCAAGTGGACATTAAACCCCATTTCTCTCTCTCTCTCTGAATATGTTTATCATTTTAGATTCTGAGTATTCATTGAAGATTAGGCAGAAACATTGCTATTATCTGCACATAGTTTCTCTCATAGCGTACTGTATGATATATGCCCATCTTCATTAGCCCAGTTGGTGTAGAAAAGTAGGCTGTTAAACCTTATTTCATTTCAACAGTTTCGATTTTTGGGGGTTTTCAAACTAATCACTTTTTAAACTTTTGTAATTCTTTATGATTTTTATTTTAGCTTCGGGTTATTCTAAATATTCGCCTTCTAAAGGATATTTTTGGCAGTTTAAAGAAAAAGAAGAAAAAGGTAACAAAAAAATATCATAAAATAAACAGTAAAATTATCATGGAGAACACTTTGACCTGATTGTAAATGACTGTGGTTGTTTGGGATGTTTTAAAATAAATTCTTTTGTATGTTTTTTTTTTTTTTTTAAATCCCCTTGACTTCCTTTTGTCAGAATATCAATGCTACCATTTAAATATTCTGTCTAGATTTGTACAAAACGTTTCAGTTGTGTCCCCAGTTTCAATGTAAAAGAGTTATTAATCATTCTAATAGATAGATTTATTAATTATTTTAATAGATAGATTTATTAATCATTCTAATAGATAAATTTATTAATTATTTTAATAGAGTTATTAATTATTCTAATGGATAGAGTAATAGAGTTAATAATTATTCTAATAGAGTTATTAATCATTCTAATTGATAGATTTATTAATTATTGTAATACATAGATTTATTAATTATTGTAATAGATTTATTAATTATTATAATACATAGATTTATTAATTATTCTAATATAGATAGGTTATTAACTATTCTAATGGATATAGTTATTAATTATTCTAATAGATTGAGTTATTAATTATTCTAATAGTTATTATATATTTATTTTGTGGATATTGATTATTACTTAATTACTTTTATAGATAAGTTAAGAGGTAATAATTGTTATGATAAATTACCATAATTAATAGATAAATTATGCTTATTAAATTAGAATTTTTGATTATTTTGATAGAGAAATTAGAGCACAAAGAAAAGAAGAAAAAAAAAGAAGAACCAAGTTCAACGTTCCAGAGACATCGAGTTGATTTATTATTGGGTGAACTGGGTAAAAAATTCCCTCCACCAACCATGGCACCACCTCCAGAGACTGTTATTAAAAGTAAGTAAAGCTTTGTTTATTATGTACAGTGTTTTACTATTACACTGATCTTTGAATCTTGAGGTTTACACCATGGTTTCTTCGTCATAATGCGGTTGGAACCATTATCTCTAGGGATGATAATTTTCCACTTCAGATGAAGGCAAATTCCATTTCAGATTTTAGTCACTTCTCGCCTTTTTAGCAGACGGTGTCAACTCTGTTCCTCATTCTTAAGCCAATGAAAGGCTTGCAAAAGTGTGACGTCAATGACCTCTAAGAATAGCCATGATGTACTCTCTCCTTGAGAGACAAGAAACTTACCTACATCATAGAACTAATGCCTAAATAGATAGTTTTGTAGGAATTTTGATAATTTTTTGGAAAAGACAAGTTTGATTTAGATGAGATTAAAATATTTTCTTCGGATGTTTCACTTTTACTGCTTGACTGCACATTTATTTATGAAATGTTTTGATATTATTACTTGACCAAGTTTGTTTAGCATTCGCTTCGTCTGTTCGGACTATGTGATGTTTCGTTTTCAAATTCATTGCACAGAATAAATTTCATTTTTGGACGATTCCGTGATATTCCGCGAATCCATTTGACAATGTGAATTCCACATTTTTTGCTGCTTTTCCATCATCCTCATCATCCCTATATCTCAAAATGTCACCAAAAACACTGGCAGACCATTATTCATTTTTCCAAATTTTTTCCAAATCTCCATTAACATGTGATGAATCTGTTCGAATCTTGTTGGCCTTACAGACATCCAATGGATTCATAAGAAGTAGGATTTTTAGTCTGGAAAAATTCACAAATATTAAGCTGCGGATTGCCATTTTTGATCCCTTTGCAAACGAAATATTGTGAATGTTTTTAATCTGTAAAAGGAATATATGTCCATTAATGGTTGAATTTTGTTCAAATTGTTTAAGTGGCATTTAGTAACTGAATGAGAACATAGTTCATTTTACCCACTGTTATAACTTCGTAACCTTTTGATGGTTTCCAAATGATTATCTCTGATGGTATATTAATGTTTTTCTTTGTTCCATATTTTGTATATATACTCTTAAAAAAAAGTAGGGGATATTGAAATGCAAATATCTATGCAGGTTATGATATGATAAATAGTCATGGATATTTGACATGCTTTGAGAGTATGTTCACAGATGAAGAACTTATCGCCCCAACAGTACCACTGAGCTGCATGTCAGAGGGGTTCATTGTCAAATTTGATACTTCAAGGAAGGGTTGATGAAAACTGCTGCTTGTGGGTTTATCCTATCCATGTTTGATTTCCTATCGGTTCTTGCATAAGATTTACTGGTTTTAGTTATCCTTTCTTTAGTGTGTTACGTTTAATTTGATCGATGTCAACGTCAACCGACAATACTGCAAGAATTGGCTGTGGCACTGCAAGAGGAGTGGGTCGGATTGCCCCAAATCATGAATGGATGGTTGATTAGGAGCATGTCTGAGCATTGGTTGAACAATTACTCATTATGTTAAGACAAAAATCAAAAATGTTCGTTTTCACTTTTGACAGTGTATCTCTTTGCGAGTGAAATGGGGCCGTCTGATAAGCCGCCCATATGAACTGTTTATGTTCATGTGTAGGCAATTGGCCTGTTATTAACATACACTGGTTACCTCTAATAAAAACAGCAGTGCATTTCCACAGTTTTGTATTGTTTCTGAATATCCCCTAGTATATATCTTCATTTGTACTATGGTTGTCATTCTTAGCTTGATGGGGGGTTGGATGGCTGAATGGTTAGTGGCGTGCGCTGTATCATAAAGTCTGTCATTGAGTCGACTGGCGTGGTTTTGAATCCCCGGTTGTACGTGACAAGGAGTAGGGTCGCCTTTCCAACCTCGTGGGTTTTCTCCGGGTCCTCCGGTTTCCTCCCACTGCTAAAGACCCCTACGCGCAAGCGAATTATTGAAATAAAATTAACCCATATGTTAGTCCCGAAATGACCTAGTTTGTGTCGAGTGGACGTTAAACCCCATTTCTCTCTGTCTCTCTTAGCTTGATAAAGACAGGAGAACCCTTGTCGAAACGTCGCTGAAATAAACTCTTCAAGTAACTTGTATTCCATATAATTGTGTCATGTGTTATTAGTTTTGTTTGTTTGTTTTTTACAAAGACGATATAATATACATGCAGGGCCTCATTTAATCCTAGTGGCCTAGAGTGTCAGGCTTCGACCTCTACTTGGCCGGTCACCTCTGGCTTGCGGCTGTGGTTTCGATCCCAGGTGTGAGCGTATGTGGCTTGGAGATAGGGGCGCCTTCTCAACCTCGTGGGTTTACTCCGGGTACTCCGGTTTCCTCCCACAGCAAAGACCCCTGCGCTAAGATCATTAAAATGAACTTGTCTGCGATATCACCTTCGGTGGAAGCGGACGTTAAACGCTAAGAACAACAACAAGAGATATTTTTTAAAAATTCTTAATTAAAACGTTAAAAATAACCAATTTGAATATAGTTTGAATAGGGAGCAATGGTTGCTCGAATGGTTAGCACGCGCGCGCTGTATCATACAGCCTGTCATTGAGTCAACTGGCGTGGTTTCGAATCCCCGGTTGTACGTGACAAGGAGTAGGGTCGCCTGTCCAACCTCGTGGGTTTTCTCCGGGTCCTCTGGTTTCCTCCCACTGCTAAAGACCCCTACGCTCAAGCGAATTATTGAAATAAAATGAAACTATATGTTAGTCCCGAAATGACCAAGTTGGTGTCGAGTGGACGTTAAACCTCATTTCTCTCTCTCTGCAAACCTGGAGGTCCCGTGTTCGATCCATACAGGACCATATATTTGTCAAATGGGACGAAAAACTGATGTCCCATGTACACATTGGCGTGCACATAAAATAACACTTGGCAATTCAAAATATCACTTGGCAGTTGGAATTTTATATAAGAGTAGGCCATAGTGCCACTGTCTAGGTAAAAATGTCTGTATGGCACAGACCCATCTTCATTAACCCAGTTGGAGCAGAACAGTAGGAGGTTAAACCCAATTTCATTTCATTTCATACAGTTAGAATAAAATATTATTCAGGATCAACGATTTTAAATGAAATCACTATATTGACTAATGAAGGATATTAATCATGCCTATTTTTAATATGTCAGGTGATATGGAGTCACCTAATATATTTCTCTTTAGTTAAAGATACATTATGGGAGATTTTTATAGAGAGTTGGCCATTCTTGCTATAACAGTTCAAAAGTAGATGATGAAAGAAGAATATATTGAAAAATTCAGTCAAATTACTTTATTCTGAACATAGTTATCATCGTTGTAATATTTGACTAAAAATGGTAGCGAAATGCGTCTTCACCTTCGCCGATCGTTTGATTGACAGGCGTTAACTCCACCTACATATCTCGATTATCAAGTAAAGTTTTCAATGGCATAAGGAAACGCTTTACAGCGGCCTTGCTAAGTACACTCTATCATTTAGCCTCGATCTAACTGACGTATTTTCATCACGTTACACCTTATTTGATTTAATCAATTAAAGAAATCCTATTTAAATACGAGCTGTAGCCGAGCCATCCGTGGGTCTACAGAGTTCATTTTCGTCTTGTTGTTTAAATAAAGATCTAATTTATAATTTCTATAACATCTGAAGCCTAAATTAAGACTTGCAATAATCAGATTTAGCTCTTGCATAATGCATGTTTAATGTTACTTTTTTTAATAGGTGAGGAGGGAAATAAACCAGAAATGAAAACAGAAATTAAAACTGAAAGACCAGATGATAAAAATCCTTCCAGTATGAAACCACCACCAGAAAAAAAGCCTAAAATGATGAGATGACATGAAATTGTCAAGGAAGTCTAAAGTCCATAATAAAGATATTGATCAGGAAACCATTTAAAGATGCATATGTAAGATTTAGATAAAGAGCTAGCCTTTCTTGCTATAATAGTTCCAAAACAAATGATTCCAAATTAATATACTGAAACCTTCAGTAAATGGCATTTACTAATTTAAAGATGCACATATGTAAGATTTAGATAAAGAGCTAGCCATTCTTGCTATAATAGTTCCAAAACAGATAATTCAAAATTAATATACTGAAACCTTCAGTAAATGGCATTTACTAATTTAAAGATGCATATGTAAGATTTAGATAAAGAGCTGGCCGTTCTTGCTATAATAGTTCAAAAATAGATAATGCAAAATGAATATGAAAGATTTCAAAATTTTAACAGTTGTGTATCAGTGCCACCATGGCAATATAATGCTTCATCGTATTTAAAGGAAAATGTAAATCCCTAGCTATCAATTGCTGCCCGGGCAAAATTTCCCTCATAGCACACTGTATGGCATATGCCCGTCTTCATTAGCCCAGTATAGGAGCAGAACAGTAGGTTGTTAAACCCCATTTCATTTCATTTCAACGATATATTGCAGTGTCATTGCAGAAACTGAAAAAAAATGAGTTTTAAATCATTTGAAGTTTCAGTGGCTTTGAAGTGGAATGCCCTGCTGTTAGCTTTAAAATCTGCTCCGTCATTTCCAATATTTAAATCTAAATTAAATAAAAGATTTTCCTGTTTTCTAAGTATATAAAAAAATACACAAAAGTTAACTCAGAATTAACTTTGTGTGCATTTTTAGCAGACTTTATTGTTTGGAGTTAAGCGCTATGTAAGAATCTTATTATTTTTATTATTATAATATATTGAAAATATCAATCAAATTACTTTATTCTGAGAAAATTTACCAAAGTTTGTAATTTTGACAAGATATGGCATAGAGTGTTTATTATCATAGCAAATGTACTTGTTAATCAAGACTTAGCCTCGATTCACGATTATCAAATTAAATCATTAAATGGCAATCATATTTTGATTCATTTAAATCTCTGCCATCTGATTATCTAGAGAGTTGATTATAGGCTTTTCATGTGAATAATGTGAATAAAAGTCTAAATAATAGTTAATATAACATTTAAAGTCAAATTAAAAACCTGAAATATACAGATTTAGCTCTTACATAATTGTTAATCTGGTCAGGAATATGTTACTCATCAGGGAATTGGCATTGTGAAATATTTAAATTAGGACAAATATGAAATTTTCCATTATAAAAAGAACTGTGTTCAGATCTAGTTAACTTGGTGGAAATTTCCGTTATAAAAAGCAATTATGCATGAAGTTATATAGTGGAACAACTGTTTAATAGTGCATGTACTATTAGATAATATTATCATATATCATATTTGTTAATATTCATTTATTCACATTCATTAAAATAAACACTTAGAAATGCATTGTTAGTTTTTGATAACAAGGATTTTATCTCTGTGAACAAGGGCAGATTGGGGAATGGGGAGCTCATTGCCCTCGGACCAACTGGTTTCCTTGGGCCCCTACAGCGATGAATATTACATGTAAGACGAGAAACTGAAACTAACTGATTCACCTTTTTTGCGCGTCACTCATAGATCATTCTTCATCTTCATTGAAAAACTATTAAGGGTTCTTTAATTTGCACACCAATTTGCACTTGCGGATAGTGGACCTTGGTTTTGTGTCCCTTCCAAACGACTAGACAGACTGAAAAATGCGAATCATGTTTTGAAAAACGGTGGACACTGCTCTACCACACAATCATCAATTATAGACCTGGTTGTCTGCCAAATCACATGGGCTCATACTCGACAGGTTGTCAGTGTATGCAGGCTAATCACTGAAATGAAGAAATTCTATGTTAGTCTCTGAGTGACTTAATGACATTTTGTTTTTCTTTGTATAATTCCAAACGGAGTGGTCAAGAGATCAGTATAGAATTATGTCATTACTGTAATTCTGAAAAAATGAGAGAGAGAGAGAGAGAGAGAGAGAGAGAGAGAGAGAGAGATCCACTTGACACAAACTAGAGCATTTTGGAACTAACATGGTTAAATTTTATTTCAATAATTCGTTTGCGCGTAGAGGTCTTTAGCAGTGGGAGATAACCAGAGAACCCGGAGAAAACCCACGAGGCTGGACAGGCGACCCTACTCCTTGTCACGTAAAACCGGGGAATTGATACCACGCCAGTTGACATAATAACAGACCTTATGATACAGCGCGCACGTGCTAACCATTCGGCCATCCAACCCCCCAGCTTACAGACAGATTTGTCAATTCCTATTTACAGGGGCTTACATAACGAATTTGTTTGGGTGAGGGGGGTGTTTAGCAAAAATATGACCGACTAATGCACATGCCCCTAATATGGTCAGTTGCCGATGCATCATTTTGAAACTGACTGCAGTGACTGCACTTATTTTAAGACCAACTATTTTTCACCCTGAGGGCAAATATTTTCTTAGACCAACATAAAACAGAATAAGAGTGAAAAACATTTTTTCAAACATGATAAGTTGACAAAGTTATTTTATACTATAGTTTTGAGTGAGTATTTTGATGTATGCAATTAAGGTGCACGAATTCACACAAATACTATTTTGTCACCCAACTCCCCCACATTTTCGTCCCTGCCTATTCATGGTATCTTTATTCATTGACAATAATAAGGTATGCCCAGTTTCCTGAGTCATTTTAATGACTTTGTAAATAACTATGTATAAAATGTATTCAAATCCACTAAAGATCCCAGGCTAATGATCTAATGTATAAAGACTTTGTAAATAAATATGTATAAAATGAACAACTCCAAGAGGGATTGTCACAAGTAATCAGGTATGTAAATATGAACAACAATTTACAAATTGTGTTATAAAAAAAATACCATGGTGCCGTATCAGCTTATATCTATTGAATAAAAACGAATACATTAATTTATGTGAATTAAATATGGAAAATATTCCGAATGGTGTACCTGTTTGTCGTTATTTTTGTGGTAATTACATGTAGTAGAATACGATATTTCTCAAAACAAATTACCAAGAATTGTTTTTGTTGAAGTCTGGTTATAATAAAGGGAATGGAAGCTTAAAATTTTAAAACCCAGTTCCTACCAGAACCTCATTTGACCCAATTCTGGCCTGTTTGTTTCAAAATGGATTAAGAACCCTGTGAACAACAACACCAAGAGGGATTGTCACAAAGGATCATAAAATTAATTACCCGTAATTCTTCTTTTTATACACCCATTTTGAAATATGGTTTAAAAAAAAGGTCATGGTATATCGGAATATTGATTGGAAGTCCATTCCTGAGCAATGGGGCTTGGATCGAGAAGGATTGCTCTCAATATGTCGATAGTCTTGCAGTTCGACGTTTGAGGAAATTTGGTTGTATATTGTTGTCACCCTCATCCGTTCTTCATCCGCAATTGGATGGGCTGAAATTTATGAAGTGTTTTATTGTCTTGATATGGATCTCATTGATCAGTTTGAAAAGCTTGGGGATGCCCTAAAAGCTAAAGTTAAGAGAGAGAGAGAAATGGGGTTTAACCTCAGCTGGACATAAACTAGGTCATTTCAGGACTAATATATAGTTCAATTTTATTTCAATAAATCGCTTACGCATAGGGGTCTTAAGCAGTGGGAGGAAACCCAGAAAACCAACAAGGTCACACAGGCGACTCGACTCTCTGTCACTTACAAGCGGGGAATCAAAATCAGGCCAATTGACTTGATCACAGACCTTGTGACTTCATGCACACATGTTAAACCACTAGACAACCCAACCCCGCTACCCGTATAACAAATAGGAAAAATTAGAAGCCAACCAAATTTTAATTATATCTGATAATTACTTCATTGGGTACTACTCTTGATCATATTTTAGTGTCTTTTAAATGCCCTATTACCTACAAATGAATTAGTGTGTTGGGAATATGTTAGGCCTGTGTCAAATGAAGAACCCCCACCCCTAAAAAAAAAAAATTGTGGGGTTGGGGAAAGTCTAATGACAGCCCTGTGAATAAGGTAACATATTTTAGTCTGAATACACTGATAATCACATCTGTTAATTTTGATATATTCGTACTAAATCACTTGTGGTAACACCTTAAAAACAATATGGGTTGATATTTAACGCTTGGAATAGTTCAACAAAATTTAAACCTATCTACCCAACCATACAAATGTATATCAATGGATAATTCATGCAATAGGTATATGCCCTGATTAATTTGCCACTAGACTATTGTATTTTAACAATGGATCACTTCTGACATCACAGTAAAGAGCACTTATATTATGATAAACAAAATTGATGCAATAAAAAGCAAAGACCTATACTAAACTGAGGCTGCCTGTCTACAGTTAGCTCCGCTTGAGAACAGGCACTAAGCTCTATATAGTTGACATTTTAAGTCCTAAATCAATGATTTTAGTCAAAGATATTAAGTATACATAAAGAAGTTTGAGAAATATTTATTTCGCTTACATTTAATTAAACTGAAACTGTTTATTTTATCGTGGTGTATATGACAGATGTATGTAAAACCACATTACAAAAAAGTATACTATTAAGTTTCTGATATGGTGGCCATTCAGGGAAGATTCTCGAAGTATGAAGTAGATATAACTGGGGTCCATATAATCCCTGAAAATTTGTTGGATATGTAAAATTTTGTAATATTTCCCAAGGTATCTGTGAGTGGAAAAAAGGTTGCAACTCATATTTAGGTTACAAATATACAAAAGTTTCACAAAAGAAATGATAATCTGCCGTCTAGGACATTTGAATCATTGAGTCACAGTGGCTCAGTGAGTAAGCCATGTTCGATCTCTGCCTTCATCAGGATATTCCGGCGTGGTTCCCCCTTATCAGTGGTGCAGGACAGAGGGCCTGGCAAGGGGGAACGTGTTGGACGAAAAACCAAGGTCCTGTTTATACATTGGCATGTATGTAAAAGATCCCTTGGCAGTTGGAATTTAATATAAGAGCAGGCCATAGTGCCGCTGTCTGGGCAAAACTTTCCTCATAGCACACTGTATGGTGTATGTTTGTCTTCATTAGCCCATTCGGAGCAGAACAGTAGGAGGTTAAACCCCATTTCATTCATTTTAGAAGCCAAAATTCTAATGATTCATTATGAGGATAATAATAATAAATGGAATGGGAAATCAAAACTAATTATTCTGCTTTTGTCAGCTTTCTTCACCAATTCAATTTTTCCATTTGAAAAAATCCCTTTTTAATAATCGGAGAGTTGTCATCAGGATGTTTTCATGTGTGTTTGAGGTGTTGCCATGACCGACAAATTATCACATGATTGACCAAAATGGAAGTTCCCTATGGGGAAATCTAAACTAATTATTCTGCTTTTGTCAGCTTTCTTCAACAATTCAATTTTTCAATTTGAAAAAATCCCTTTTTAAAAATAAGAGAAGTGTCATCAGGATGTTTTCATGTGTGTTAGTGTTGTTTGCGATGACTGACCAAAGTGAAAGTAGAAGTTCCCCACCTTTTTAAACAGATCCTGTTCAATAGATTGACTTGAATTGCACACAGGAAGAATTATTAGTGGATGTTGATTGGATGAGGGGCTAGCTATAAATAGCTATTTTCTATCCAGGAAGGGGTGTTTATTTCATTCAAAGGAAAGCCTTTATTAAATAAAGGTGTATTCTAAATATATTTGATACAAGATTTACTTTACAAATTAATTTTCTGACTGAATTCAAAAAGATATCTCAAATTATAGTTCAGAACTTTTCTGTTTTTCCTGGTGAAATACATTGATGTGTGATATAGATTATTAACCTTTTTACATAAAAACTTTACAACAATATATATTAATGGTAATGGTACCCGAGTTCAGTTAGAACTTTGCCTTACGTAGCACCATTTCACAAAATCTACTTGAATAGAATTGTTTAAATTTGAATAAATATGAATGAAGTGAGTCTCATATCCTACACTGTACTGAAATCAAAATTGGTAGTATGTTAGTTGTTATGGTTACTAGAGTTAGAATTTTGCCAGGGTAGCGGCATTTCAGGCGTTCAAAGGACTTTGATTTAAATAGTTAGCCTGCTCATTCAAACAAGTAATAAATAGAAATGGACATAAATGTCCTGTCGTACTTCACTTTCCTCAAATTATATTTTGACATAGCTGTCACAATTTCTGTCATCCTCAACTTTAGGAACCTGTCAGATAAATTTTGGGTTAAGTTTTTTTAAAACTTGGGAGCCATGGTATCTCAATGAATAAGACATTGACTTGCTAACCTGGAAGCCCTGTGTTAAATCCCTGCATCGCCAAAAAAGTTTATAGGGATTTTCCGGCTTGGTTTCCCCTTGTCAGGGGTGCAGAACAGAGATCCTGGCAAGGGACAGCTGCCTAGTCATTCAGATGGTACGAA